TCAATCCTTAGACTCCTGAATACATAGTTAAGGAATCAGACATTTTGAATAAAAGGAATATTTAAATAAAAAATCGAATTTCTTGGATATCTTACAATGAGTTAGAATTAATAGATATTTTTCCGTATGCGATCTATACCGCCCCTTAACTGAGAGGTTCGGTATGCATTGTAGGTACTCGTTTTACTGGCCAATACCAAATACAATTTACTTATGGTTTAAGTTTAGGTAAAATGTAAGGATATTTAATATTTTTATAAAAAATTAAAATGGAAATACGTATAATTTTTAATAAATAATTATTTCACAAGGTAATTATTTTTAAATCATTGAATAATTGTTTAAGACAAAGACGAAGACAATTAATATACCTACCTAATATTTTAAAATTCTACGAGACAAATTTGAAAACTATAGGTACCTATGCGTTTTAAATAAAAACAGTGAACCTGAAATAAATACATTTTAATTTGAAGTTATTTTCTCACCAGAGATCAATAACTTTGAAGGTTGGTCATGCCTGATTTATTCACTTCACTGGTCACCCTAAAATTATACCTTCTCGAGTTGTCACGTGCCCAGTAAAATTATCGTATATAAAGTAAAAACCATTTATTTGCTCCACGTGGACTTTGAAAGCACACGTATTTTATATTTTAAAAATATTTTTTAATATTAGACTGACATGATTCATTCTTCGAAAATAATACTACGATATTTTTATAGCGTTATAACTGTAAGTTATTTTCGTGTTTAATTTCAATTCTAGGAAATATCTTGCACGAGGCATGGTCCAAGAGAGAATGATAATATTATAATCTGTATAAACGCAGTGAAAAAAATCGACTAATAGGTACCTATTATATAACGTAGGAATGATGGATTGATGAGATACAAATAAAACTGATATCTACTATGATTATTATGTTCAACTTTGAAATTAAATTATTAATTTATTCACAAATTAAATCTTTGTAAATATTAAAAAGTTATTAGGATAAAATTAAAGAAATATTAAATATGTAAGATGTAAGTATTAAGATTCTAATTTTCTATTTTAAACTTTTTTTTATTGTTAAATATAAATTAATAATATAAATGGTTAATAAATTAAAACTATTTAACAAGTAATATACAATATTAAGCTTAAAATAATTGTTAGCTATATATAATATATTCATCACGTGTCTAATAAAATTGTCTAATGATGAATGAAAACATTAAAATGTAAATGCATATGTCTATCTTTGAATTGGCTGAATCATTAACTATACGCAGGATTAATGTTTTGTTTTTAATTCTTTGTTATTGTTTTTAATTTTTATACGTTTAAAACTTATTATAACAACATTTCTATGTACTGACTTAATGGCTTTATACATTATTCATTTATATTAATTTTTAAAGTATAAATAGGTATTGCCTAGGTACCTTTTTCATGTATTTTAAATCAAGTAAAATAATTTTAAAAAACAAATACATAGGGAATGATATTGTGTGTTATTAATGATGTGAACATCTTGGATGACCTTTGAAAATAATACTATATATCTAGGCACCAACTGGAATGGAGTAGATACTTCGTAAATAACAATACAAGCTAAGAAGCAAAATAAAGGTAGAAATTCCAGTCTTGAATTTTTCAAAATAGGTAGGTACTGCATAATATCAACTGAGAATTAAGCCAACAAAAGTTAAGAATAATAATTATGTTTTTTATTTGCAAGGATGATAATTATATTCTTTAATACTGATTCAAGTCATTAGGTAGTCAATAATAGTATAACAAAGTCTTTACAGATGTAATATTCTCAGAAAATTGGTTCACTTTAAATAACACAAGCCATTGACAGCTAATCACAATAATTATTATATTAGCTGAAAGCGTTACATATTACATAATACAATTATAAAGAATTAAACAATAACTATAATGCCTACAACAATATTAAATTTTAATTTCAACATGTTTCGATAATTTTAATTAAAATAAATATCCACCAAAATGTCAAAGAACGGTTAAAAAACCTAGAAAACCACTGAATGACCTAGAGAGCTGTATTACTATATAAGGAGAATTCCATTGCATTATTTATTATTATTATAATATTAGGTATACATAATATTATAATCATTCAATACTTCAAAAAGTGACAATCCATAGATGTTATATATAGATCTATCAGTATCTTTCATCCAAAGTTGTAGTTAATAATCAGCTACTGAAAAAAATAAAATATAATAATGTATTTACATATTGTTATATAAATTTGGATGATAAATATGCATAGTTATAATAAGTATATAAAGAATATAATTGAAACAATTAGAGGTTATAGTGTTATCATAAGTTTTTTTTTCAATAGAATTATATCGAATTATTAATATTGTTCAAGTTTAATTCAAAAGAAATTTTTATGAGTAAATTATCTAATGTAAATTTGTATTTATCATACGTTATAGTAAATAGTAGGTACTTACCTGACAATTTTTCAAGCACTACTGCACTAGCATTGATTTCTCATAAAAAATATTTGTAATATGTTGATATAATTTCTGTTAAATATTTATATTTATTGTTGTAAAAAATGGCTGTTGAAAAATGTAGTTATTATTTCATCGATTAAACTTAATAAGAAAAGTGGACAATGGTTATTAAACTATGTTAATTTAGTAATTGTTATTAAATATTATTTGTTCGTATTTAATAGTGATAATGTCATAATATAAAGGATAGGTAGGAAAAAAGGAGACGATTCCAAAATATTGACTTATCTAAGCAGTGAGTTTTTCACCCCATCAGGAATCACATTGTTAATAACTAACAAGAAACACTTTAAACCTAAATATTTTAAACGTAACATAATTTTATACTATTACGTATTACTATTAAAGGTACTTACTCATTTCCTTGATCACATTGTTGTTAAATTATTTTGATTTTACCATTATTTTGACTAAAGCTAATTTTTAATTCATCGTCGATGTTGATATTGTGTATACATTTTTCTTCTTTGTTTGAACATGAACTTACTATACCTACATAATAATATAAACATAAACTATACTCACTTATTGGTTGTAATCATTAGTTTTTAAATAATAACACTTACTATACTATATTGACGTATTTTAATGGTAGATAATATATTATAGACAGTAGGTACTAATTGAATAATTTTATGTTTCATAATTATTATAATTTTTAAGTTATGGTTATCTATTAAAAATCTTTGTATAATTTTTATATGGCATGTATTCAACAACAACTAATGATTACGCTGAATAAATTGCACTTGACGATAGTAGGTAGGTACGATAATTTAGGTAATAACAGATAAATAAAGCAACTAGCAAGTACCTACCTATCTAACCAAATTAGTCACTTGTTAAAAATTACTATTAACGAACAATGGAATATTACTTATTAGTTATAATATGTCAATAAATTATTAAAGACTTACTCTGATTTTTATTAAACTGAATATTTTGTAATTGTACCTATAATTTAACCTATTTCAAAAGTAGGTATATGCTTAGGTACATCCAATATACGAGTTCTTTTCTCCCAAATAAATAAGCAAATATCTGCAGGTTTTTTAATTAAGTAGTTTTATTATTATTGTGTAAAGTGAACAAATAAATCTAGATTGATCTAAAAACCAGTATTCTTTTTAAACATATTATTATTATTCCCACGTGGATTCTAAGATAATATGCACAATAAAGAAACCAGTTAAATTACGAATGAAATAAAATATTATTTTACTACACTTTAGTAGGTACATAAAAAAAGGTAGGTTAATATTAATATTATAATTATGTTCTAAAATGAATACTATTTAAAGGCCATGGACGTTTGACGATGAAGGGTAGAGCTGTAAATACCTATATCATGCCTCATATCTATTAGTTATGGGAATTCTAAATCCTAATAGGTAATAAGTAATAATATTAATAACGTGTACTGGTTGATCACATCACTTGGTATTTTGTAATACTTTAATGTCTATTATATATTATATTATATAGTTTGGTATTTATTAGGAATATGAGAAAACCGGTTGCATTAACTATTTCCTCTTTTTTTAGGATTCTATCGAACACATCATTTGCAGAAAATTTTGCTTACAAAATAATATTATATTTTCCTAATAATAATTGTTTAACGTATCAATATTATTATACCGTACACGTTACTGGTAGATATGTGAAAAACAATCATTATATGTACCTAAACCACGAGTGATTATAATATTATAATCGGCGTTACTATTTTAACGAGACATAGCTGCTTCAGTGGTGAATAAATAAATATATTTGTTGTAGGTATATGCTATAATATAATATTTTAATACACTTGTAACGCGTAGGTATATGTTATACGCCATTGAAGTGCAGGCCGCAAACGGGGCTGACCGTATGGTAAAATAATAAATTGTCGACGTACACAAGGCAAAAATCTAAATACCTTTCTACCTACTTGTGTTTTAACCGCAGTAACATGTATTGTATATCAAGTGTTATGTGTAGGGCCCGGAACTTGATGCATTTGCATCTTTTTATGTAATGCTTCCACACGAGGCTCGTCTTTACAGAAATTTGATTCATGGAATATGGAGTTTAATGGTACAATTTTTATTTTGCATTTTTTGCATTTTTAGGGAATTTTATGCTTTACGGTCATTTAGTGCAGTTTTTAGTGCATTTTATTCATTTTTGTACTTTTTTTTATGTATATTCGCATTTTTCTTGTTGAAAGTTACATTTCGATTTACGATCCAGGTTTAGAATTAAATTAAATTTATATCAAATCAAACTTTGGATCGCTACCAAATTCAATCAAACGATTAGAATCGTCAAAAATATGCCTTGCCGATGCTATACTAGTTGTAGACGAAGAAAAAGATAAAATTCAATTAGCACGAAATTAGGGATGGGTTTTTGACCGGTCAAAATCTTTTAATGACAATTGACCAGATTTTGACTCGTCAAAATTGTCAAAATCGGTCAAAATCTTTTTTTAATCCATAATTGTAGTCCATAATTGAATGGATATTTCCCCAAACAGACCACGCTGTAGAGCTTGGTAATGTTAGCAGTACTTCAGCAACATCAGTTAGTACACTTTTGTTTTTAAAATTACCTTTCCACCAATTTGCTGCTGTAATAAAGTTATTTTTTATAGAGTTAATTGCTGTCCATGATGAACGACTTTCAAAAGGACCACTTCTAGCTTTGAAATTAATAATGTCTGATATAATACTACTTTCTTGTTCACTATTAAGCTCCATGTCTACATTATTTAAATGTTTCCAGATCAACTTAATTAAATCAATAGCATTGTCTTCTTCTTCAGATTTTAAATTTTCTCCTTGGTGTCTTGGATCAAGTAAATAGCATGCATGATGTGTAGGTGTAATTACCTTATTTATACGGTGCTCAATTAATTTGACTATGGATTTTTCATTTTGACTTAGACTTAAAGAAGATGAATTATTTTCCTCAACACGTTTTTTTACTTTTATAAACTCATTATAAACTTCTGATAGTTCACAAGAATCAGACTCCATTTTGGTAATTGAATTGGAGTCTGGTGAAAACAAATTTATAAAATGTTGATTTTTTAACCAAAATACTTCTTCATCCAGAACCCATTTTACTATTTGCTTAAACAAATTTTGTTGATTTGATGGTATAGAAGAGGCAATTTCTTCATCAACAACACTTGATTTAAGAGCTTTTTTGTTTATCTGTATAACTGCTGAATTGATTTAATACTAGAAGCCCAACGTGTAGCTACAGATGTTGATAGAGTTGAAGTAATCCCATACTGTTCGCGATACTTACTAAAAATATGAGCAGCAACATGACGGTTTTTGAACCGTGGACGATAATTTTGATAACTAATTACAGAAATATCAGCGTGACCAACATAACGTTTATTAGTACAAAATTACAATATTGGACAGCAGATTTGTCTAAAAACGATGTTTAGTATAACCATGGAAGTTTTTTTTTTATTTTGACTGGATTTTGACCGGTCAAAATCTTTGTGGTCAATTGACCACATTCTGACCGGTCAATTGACTGGTCAATTGACATTGTGCCATCCCTACACGAAATATAGTTGGGCGCCAAATTCAACATAAATTTAAAACTGTTTTAGAAAAAAATAGTGGTTATAAAACAATGCAGATTATTTCAAAAATATTGGAAGGACAAGAAGTGACAAAAGAAGGATTGCCAGAAGATTTGAATACAGATGATATCACTTTTTTCAAACATGCGCCAATCACATCTGTGGAAGTTGAAAGAAGTTTTTCAACATACAAAACTTTATTATCGGACAATCGCCGATCATTTTTATTTGAAAATATTAAACACACTTTAATCGTTCAGTGTAACACATTTATTGTTTAAAAGTATTAATATAAATAAAATTTAAATTGTTTAATTACTAAAAGGCAAAAGCATATTTAATGTATAAAAATAAAATTTATAATAATTATAAATTTATAAGAACCATTATGTAACATTATAATTTTGAAAAACGAATTTTTTTTAATATTTATATAATAATTTTTAATTTTTAAATAATAATAATAATAATAATTATTTTTTAAAGAAATTTTTGGTATTTTTGTGGTCATTTTTTTAAGTCATTTTTTGATGTTTATAAGTCATATTAACATTTTTTTTTAGTGCATTTTTTAAAGATTTCTAGGTCATCAAGTTCCGGGCCCTAGTTATGTGTGTGTGTGTGTGTGTGTGTGTGTGTGTCCAGACAACTACAGACCGGCTAGATTGCTATTATGCCGGCTGGATGACTTTTATTTTCACAAAGCGCAAGATTACAGCAGCAGTGTGTAAGATGAATACGAAATAACTTATTATTTGCTCACCTCTTATTTTTTCACCAATATAATTTGTACATCTGTTGATTATTATTAGAACTGACTGATCGAAACACCGCGTAAAATCTGTATAGAAAAACTGGCAGTTAACTCCTCCGGAAACGAGGGTTCGGCTCGGTTGAACGATTCTACGAAATCACACAGAGCGTGATGATATAAACTATTAAATAAATATAATTTTGAGCATATTATTGTAATGTAAATATAGTCCTGTGCATAATATATTATAATTTATAAATATATATACCCAAAATATCTAGAACATACATAATATCTAGAACATACATAATATCTTAAGCTGTATGTACCTAGTAGTTCCCGGGAAACATGATTATAAATAAAATATTTAATATGAAAACATTTTTAACACATGGTGGATCTTCAAGTTTCTGAGCAAAAAGTAATTTTTTAAGCTTAGTGATAGCTGCTTAAATATTATTTTTTTTCAATTATAAAAGTAGGTAAATTAATATTTTTTTTTATGTTGGTACTTTGGTATTGTAAGCTTGGCAAAACACATCGCAAACGATATTATTCACTCGCAGTGGTAATAAGGCATAACAACATTTGAATACATAGTTAATATAACTTCACTATTGGAGCTTTTAATAATTCATCAACTATTATTAGGCTATAGGTACTGTTACATTTCTATAATTTTGATTACGCATGTAAATCATTCGACATTTTTGGTGGCAGAAAGTTAAATATGCTATCCCTTATGCATATTATTTATTAAATAAAAATGTTATATAAACATCATAATATACAAACATATCGAGCAAAATAAAATAATTTAGACATAACTTTAAAATGTATAGGGTTATCAAAGACACATTTTATTGATCGCAGTTACAGACGAATATTAATTAATAATATTTAGATATGAATATAAATATTATATTATAGGTAGCATAATTGTAAATTTATTGATTTATTATTTTTTCACGGTCAATATATTTTTGTTGATATAATGATTAATGACGTAGGTATACAATATATCTTATCAATTCATATACATGTTTAATGTAATTATGTAAATCGCATTAAAAAGTTATCTTAAGAAAATCGCTTCAAACAAAATATACGACTTAGGATAGTTAATAGATGCTATAGTCATATTATTATAAAGCACATATAACTAATAACTACATAATAAAGGTATAGGTAAAATTTGTATAAGTTACACATAACTAATGTTGTGATTTATGATATTTATGTAGTAAAAAATGAATAAATGAGAATGCACTTTTGCACTAGAAATAGCTACTATATTATTATACAAAAAAAAAACCATCTTTTCATTAAAAAATGACAAATTGATTTATAATAATTAATAGCATTTAAAAAAAAAATTATATTAATAATTACTAGGGGACTTTGCCCCATTCAAGGATCCATCCATTTGGACTAACTCCATTAAACGACACCCACATTTAACTTATAACTGTCATTAGTATGATTTTTTTTTGGTCTCATGTTGTTAGTTATTCACTGAAAAATAAAAACTGCGATGTTTTTTTTAATATATTAAAGATGAAATATTAATTAATAATTCAATAATAAGTATCAACATTTTTTTTTTTTATTTAAAAATATGTATTTACAATCTATACGACAAGGTTTAATAAGTAAGTGTGGTGACATAAATAATATTTTACATAAAGTAACATTAATTGTAGAGTAGGAAGGCTCCCGCAGTGCCACCTGACAAGAAATAACATTATAATTTTAATATTTTGATTAGGAAAGTTGCATTGGACAACGATATATTCTTTAAGTTTATATCATATTTTCAAGAGTTCATTTATTAATTCGCATCTGCACATATTGGGTATTGTTTATCATAGCTATTAAGCAAAATCGATTTTATTCACTTACTAAACTATTTATACATTATACTACACTATACCAACCAGACAATTTGATATTAAAAAAAAAACAAAATATGTGTTTATTTGCAATATTTAGATAATTATGCATATTATTACATTTTACTGGGATAATTCTTTTATATGAATGGTGGTGTGGGTCAAAGCTCTTCACGAACCAGCACATTAAAAATGTATAGTACAACTATGCTCATCGTATTATTATTATAGACCAACATAGCAACGTCTTACCTGGACTTCACATCCATGCAATAAACTCCTTTATACTTGAACGATCGCGTCCGTCTCCTCCACTCTCTGTTAACTTCCAATCCACAAAAAAAAAACATAGCAATTAAACTATATACTAATTTATAAACTTTTAATTAAACCAATTCGGACATAGTGTATCCAATTATGGGGTTCTGCAAAAACATTAATCGTATTCAATGTTTTCATTCCAAAACTCTATGAGCTATAGGTATACGAAGTGGCATTGTACATATTTTATGAATATAAAGTCATTCCAATATTCCATATCCATCTCTCCAGTCCCTGATGTTACTAAAGCGTATTACAAACGATTCAAATTAAATCTACAAATATAACCTAAACAATTTGTTGTACTAACTGCTATAAGGGGCCACATTTATAGACTCATAAAATGGAGATAATTAAACGAAACCAGTGACGTATTTAGGTATTTTTCTTGGGGGGGATATGAATTTATCCAGTTAGAGGCTTAAGGTTAGAGTGTTAAGTTATGACTCCGAAAACTTTTGCATATTATATAAAGCCTATGTGTTGGGTGGATGATCTCCTTGATCCTCCCAGTAAATACGCCGCAGTACCCAACACATTGAATGCGTATACATTAAACTTTATGATGTATTACGATACGAAAATGGTACAAAAAAGGTGGGCAAGTGGATTTTGCTCTGCTGTACAGTAGGTTACAAGTGGGTCACTGCAATGGATGGTGTTAAATTTGAATTAAATGATATAATATCATGTATAAGAAAAACGATTCTGATATTTGATGATATTATTGTGGATAAAGTAATTTATATACAACCTATTTACGTGGAACATTATTTTAGATTTTCAATCCTTAGCTATAAAAGTTGAACATTTTTAACTACAAAATAATTTGTAAATTTTCAATTTGATAAATTTCGTCAAAATTCGAATTTTAAATATTTATAAAAAAATGTGTGCCTATGTATTTTTAATATTTTTCAACTGCTATTGTAATAATATATAAGGAGTCTTGTATTGCATTTTCAAGCTTTTTGAGTTTTTGACCCAACAAATACAATTTTTTAATATTCATAGAAAAAAAAAAAACAAAAAAAAATTAAACTTTACATTTTCCGTAATCAGCTCAAAATGTTCAAAAATGTTATTAAGTATAGGAATTGACAAAATAAACATTCCGTGAAATTTTCATGTATCTTAAGTTCTTAGTTTTTGAATTAAAACAAAATAAGAAAATCGTTACATGAGAAATCGAGTGAATATCCAATGTTGTAAAAATATGAACTCAAACGCTCATAAAAATTTAATTTGATTTAGATATTAAATTAAGAATAACAATTTTTTTAAGTTAGTTTTGTTGTAATTTAAAAATATTATTTTTAGGTAGTTGAAACTTTTAAAATATATTATTTATTTATTTATTGTAGGACAGTACATTATGGGCTAATGTCCAATGCGCAGTTTTGAAAAGATATTGGAACAATATAACAGACATACATTGAATATTAAATGTATGTATTATCACAT